ATCACAAATAGACCAGGAGCTCCTAGAAGTAAGGCTGTGACTCATATCCTCAGCATCCAACATATAAGCACACCTCTTAGGCATGAATTTCACTACAAGTAACCGAAACCCACTAGCAGCAAAACATGTGAGGTGTGTTCTCCTATTACAAGAAGCCCTGAGCTCAGCTGCTGTTGGTCCAGGGAGGCCTTTGAAGACATAAAGTCTTTCCACCATTCCCTTCCAGCACCCATGAATAATGGTCTTATGGTCTCATTCTTGTCAACTTGTGGTCCCAAAGCAGCTTCCCCATTGGCCAGACATTGTGCCCACATTTTGGTCAAGAGGACAGGGACTGTCACCAGCCATTTCTGTCCCCTTTATAAGAAAGTAAAGGGGGCCTGCCCATTAGCTCAGTTGTTTAAGTGCCTGCTTAGGCAAAGCAGTCAGGCTCAGAATTCTGTGGTTCGATCCCCAGATCCTCATGCCTTACCAGACCTGCCCTTAGGGCATCCTGAGCCCACCCCCCCCCAAAAAAAAAATCCTTCTGAAAGTAAAAGCATTCCTCAAAATGGCATCAGTTCTTGTCTCATTGGTTCTAAGGCAGTCATATGATCACTACTACTACTACCAGGAAAGCAAATGTCTAGGTTCCCAGATTTTACAGCAGGAAGAAGTAAGAAGGTGGCAAATCTGGTTGTTAGGTCCAAGGAATGCTAAAAGTAGTGAGGGAGTAAATTGAAAAATGTTTCTCTTTTCTCCAATAGTTGCAATTAATTTGAGGAAATAAGTGCTCAATTGGACATGCTTTTAAGTTACCACAGTATTTTCTTATGGCAAAGCAGGAATCGCTGGAGTTTCCACCCAGGAATAGGGTGGGAAGAAGGAAGAGACAGCCCAGCCAGGCTTTCACTCTGGTCTTCTCCCCAGGAAAGAGTCTACACATACTGCCCTCTGGATCAGAAAAGACATTTATTTTGAGTCCTACCATCGGTCTTTTTCTCTAGGTGACCGTGCATGAGGGACGGGTGACATGCTCACAATGAAAAGGAGACCTGCCTGCATACAGCCTGGGCCAGCGTGCAGTTTCTCTTCTTCACTGAGAAGCAGAGCTATTCATATGACTGAAAAGCTGCATGCAAATTGCCTAGCAAGTACTGACAACCAAGAGGCATGTAATAAAAGTTGTTATGATTATTTTATTTCTACTCATGAGATCCATGCTTCTTTGTTTCCTGCTGTTTTTCCAGTAAGGATCGACTTTGCCCTCCATTGCCCAGGTGTGCTTGACAAGATTGGACTCTGTACACCTCAGATTCCACTTCTGCTCTCCAAGGGGCTTCTGGGAAAGCTCCAGGCAGGTCAAAAGCCCTTGAAATGTTCTCAGGTGGGTCTGAAGTGGTCTGCCTGGGTAAACCTGGTTTTTGAGGGAGGAGATCTGAAATCCTTGCTGTCACTTTCAAAAATTTCCCTGATAGTAACCGCTCTATCTCCTAAGGGATAGAACTTAATTTTGTCCGTTCTTTGCAAACACTGTGGTAAGGAAGCTATTGGCAACTCGGGTTCCTGCAGAAAAAGTACAAAGTCCTGGAGCAGAGAGCTCTCCCACGCAGGCAGGAGCAGTGCCTTTGAATGCCTGGCCTGGCACTGCGGCCTAGCAGCGCCCACTTGATTTTTTGCTGTCTTATTCATTACCAGATGTGAAAAGCGTAGAAGCAATGGCTCAGTGTCTCATCTGCAAGGAGGTTATTTATATTATAAAGACAATTGCAAAATTTATACTTATCTATCTGATATTTGTTTCTAATTTTTTAAATTTCCCTTAATTAGCTTAGTAATAAAGGTAATGGATTGAAAGATCAGAGCTAAGAGTCAGAGTCCTGAATTTTAAATTGTAGCTTAGTCTTTTTGCACATATGAAATTTTGGCCCTAGGTTTTTTTTTTCCTGAACTCCCTTATTGATAAAGTCAACAGATCAATAACAACTCCACAATTTATTGCAAGCATTAAATAGTATCTGAGAAAGTGCCTTGTAAAATGTTCAGTTGCAAGTTTAGAAAACTCAACATAAACAACCTAAGCAAATTGAAAATACATTGACTTACAAAATCAAAACAGACTTTCAGGTCTGGCTAGATCCAGGGGCTTAAACAGGCCCATGAGTCCAAATTTCACTCTAGTTTTATTCCACTTTCTTCTATGTTGGCCTTATCCTTGAAAGGATTCTGCTTTAGTGGAATATAGGGGCCACAGTAATCCCAGGCTTTCCTTCCAGTGCTTCAAGTCCAGTGAGAAAGAGAGAGACAGGTTGTATGTCTTTTAACAGCCCCAGCGGAGTGTGTTGTAGCACATGACTGTCCCTGAAGAGACTGTCCCTGAGTCACTGACAAGGGGTATTAATGAGCTTTTCTACCAGGCCAGTTATCAGGGACCCCCACAATGAGTCCTGGACCTTCTTCCTGGGGTTACAGCACACAGCAAGAAAGACAAAGAGCAAGAGACAAGAACTGCAAGGAAATAGGAGTACGGGGCATCAGTGTTTCCTGGGAAGTAAGCCCAAGAATCTCCCGCTAGCCACCATTCTATTTGCCAGTGCCGGGGCTGGGATGGAGTGTTTTTCCAGGAACAGCTACAAGTATGGTTGATTGGGCAAGTTTCACATCATAAAAGAAACAAGATTTACATCCACCCCTGGGGACTGGCTTTCCCTGTATTGACCTCAGCAAACCTCAACCTGCTCTGTGAGCCTCTCAGCCTCACTGACCATCAAGATCTCAGCATTGACCGAGAGGTGATGGGATCTGCACATTCCAAAACTGGCCCACAAGTTAGGGCGAGGAGAGCCTCAGACAGCTACTATGTCAGTTTATCATTTGTGATCCCCCACATAGTACCACTTGCTAGACAAAAAGGGGCTTCTTAGAAGAAAATATCAAAACAGAACAGGGGGAGTACCTTTTTGAACCTTAAAAGGAATACAATTAGTCTAAACAAAATAGTAGCTATCATCCTCCAGAGTTATTTCAAGAATCAAATAAAGGGCCGGGGAGATGGCTCAGTGGAATAAGTGCTTTCCTGGCAAGTGCAAGGGCCTGAGTTCAATCCCCGGTTCTGAAAAAAAAAAAAAAAAAAAAGAATCAAATAAAAATATATATATTTTAATTGGATCAACTATTCACAATGAGAAGGCAAAAGGAGGGGTTGGCATTTGGAACTTGGAATCTCATTGGTGGAGGACAACCACGCCCACAGAATCCAAGCTCATTGGTAGAGGACAACATGCTCACCCACAGAATCCAAGCTCATTTGTAGAGGACAACCATGCCCACCCACAGAATCCAAGCTCATTGGTGGAGGACAACCACACCCACCCACAGAATCCATGCTTATTGGTGGAGGACAACCATGCCCACAGAATCCAAGCTCATTGGTGGAGGACAACCACACCCACCCACAGAATCCATACTTATTGGTGGAGGACAACCATGCCCACAGAATCCAAGCTCATTGGTAGAGGACAACCATGCCCACCCACAGAATCCATGCTTATTGGTGGACAACCACACCCACCAACAGATTGCAGAGCTGGGCTGAACTGCTCTATCCAAACCCGCAGTTGTAGGCCCAAGTAGGGCAGAGTGCTGGAAGTCCTGAGTATTGGGAATGATCCATCTTATCTTCTGGAATGGATGCCTCTGCGTGAAAATCTTGCATTTCAGCTTTTTATGACAATCCTGGGTTCCAAAAGCTGGTTGCCCATCAAGACCACTGGCTTTTAAAACAAGTGTTTCATGAGGCATCTTTTTTGACCCAGTTGGGTGAATGGGCTGGGACACAGAGACCTACATTATTGAACAAGCTTTCCCGCTGCCAGAGGGGCCCTGTCCCTCCTTCCCTAGCTGTACTTCCCCCATCCCAACTGCTGTTTCTTTTCTCAGAGTGTGGACCCCAAGGGGCTAAGGCTCCTGCAGCTCTGGGTCCCCAGTGCTTAGCATGTTCATGGTCTTTTACCTCTGGTGCACAGCCTGGCAGGGGGCACCCAAAGGCCATTTGTTGAAGGGACCCAGGAGGACAGGCAAGCAGCAGCAAGCTCCCTTTTCCCCTGTGGGCTTTTTGGGGAAAGCAAGGCTTCTATTTCTAGAAAAAGCTGCTGTGATTGAGAAGAGTTTATGGCAGCAAGAGAGAAAAGGATCTTGTGAAGATAAAGCTGCTGGTTGTCCCAGAAAGACCATGCACCCTCTTGAAAGGCTCCTCTGTCATTTTAATGACAACAATGACAATGACAGTGGTATTAATGGCATTGTGTAGGAAGTCCAGGCACTGGATCTGCACTCCTTTTGGGGCTGGGGGTCGCACTTGTGTGACAGTCTTATTTCACTGTCACAGTGATGGTGCTGGGTGGCCAGTGTCACATGTCCATTTGACAGATGCTACAAGAGAGGCACAGGGAAGCTGTCATGGGTCCAGGAGCATACAGTTAGGAGGTGACAAAACTAGAGCTTTGCACTGCTACATGTGCTGCTTACCTCTTCGTAGTGACTGCCAAGTTCTGGAGAAAACATCACTCACGTACAAAGGCCAAGAGCCTGTGTTTGTCTTAAACACATACCAGCATCCAGCAAAAATAAGTCACATAAGTCAAATAAGCCGAGGGGGGAAAAGAGAAGGCTTCTCATAAGGCAGCCATTGTGTCCCTCTCCAAACAGGCAATTTTCCTTCTCGTGTTTATTTCTCTGCTGCATGCTGAAGGTCACAGGCTGCGTCTTTAGAAGCCAGGGACTTCATGAAAAGGCAGACTTGGCAAGGGGGCTGAGGATGGGAAGGGACAGGGAGGTGGGGACCAAGCATGAGGAGGAAAAGGAGAAAGAGGAGCAGGAGGAGGAGGAGGAGGAGGAGGAGGAGGAGCAGGAGGAGGAGGTGAGATGATTTTGCAACAGGGGACATCTGGCTGGCTTCTCCACCCTGGCCCGGCCCAATGACCTTGTTCCCTCCTGCTGACCACTCCCCTGGGCTGGCTTCCTCAGCTCACAAACAACCCAGCCCAGGAGGCAGCCCGAATTCCTGAAGTTGCCAGAGGTGCTTCTCCCACTGCAGGAGGAAAGGTCTCCTGGACGGCCTGGCCAGGTGGGTGCCGAGTTCAGATTGGTCCTGTTCTTCTCTGTGTGTGATTCTTAACAGCGGGCAGGCAGGCAGGTCAGGAGGCCTCGTCTTGGGAATGGACTTGGTCATGTTCAAGGGAGGGAAACATTTAAGGAGAGGCCCAGCTGCTCTGGGGGAGGAAGGCCATGGGGAGAAGGAATTTGTTTGGCCTTCTAGATCTGCAAAGTCCCATCTGAAAGGACTTGAGCATTAGGAAAAAGAAATCCTGTGAGACATAGATTTCTCAGGGCTGCCCAACTGGAGGTTGTTTGGCTTAGGGGTCAGCAGAGACCCTAGACAGCCAGTGCTCAGGAGAGGCATGAAGCCAAGGCTGTGGCCCCGCCACCTCCAGCTTCCACCAAGGGCTCCCTCTGGGAGGGAGTCAAGGGACACAAACTCAGGCAGAGTTTTCAAGGCTCAAATTCTTGCAGATATTGAGCCAGGAGGGAGACACAGGCTCGGAGACTTCCTTTGGTTCAGGGAAAAGGCCCTGGTGGCTTCTCTCTGATAGGCTTATCATCCTCTGCAGACCGTACATGGACGGTTCTAAAAACAAGTTAGTCTGTTCACTGTGACACCGGGTGGGAGGCTGTTCCAGAAGGCTGAAGCCCATACAGGGGACCCGGGACAGAGAGGGCAGAAGGAGTCAGAGTTTACCTGGGTGCACGAAGGCCTCTTTTTTTTTCTTATTTCCTTCCATTTAAAAAAAAAATTACCAGAAAAACAGCTCCTTCAGATGGTTATTATTGCCCAGGTATTCCTGAAAAAAAAAAAAATAGAAGAAAAGAAGTTCAGAAATACCAAGACAGCCTGATTTTGCTCTCTGCTTTGAAGGAAAACTTTTCTGGATGCAGAGCAGCACTGGGCATCAGGGTGGTCCCCAGAGGAAGTCCCCACTGGAAAAGCTCCAGGAAAGCCCCCTGTGTCCCCACACACTCCTACAGCTTTAGTTGCAACACCACACCAGGCCAAGTCAGAGAGGCTGGTCCCTGGATTCATTTTCTCTGCTTGCTGTCCCACCTTCCCAGCTACTCCTTGGAGACTAGGTTGGGCATGTGCGACTTCTATGGGTCCCATGGCTTTCTCAGCTGATGGTCCCAACACTTCCACAGGTAGCTTCTTTGCTGAGGACTCTCCACACCCGGCTTTGGGCTAGAGGCGGTGGTAGTGGGGTGCTTCATGATGTGGGGCCTGACTGGTGTGTGTGGTGTCTAGGGCAGACCACACCTTAGCAGTTCTCAGTGTCCATTTTCAGCCTGCCAGCAAGCTTCTAAGGTAAGCATTACTACACCAGCCGCAGCTAAGAAAGCTGCAGCTCAGAGGGGAGACAGGCCCATGGACAGTTTGCAGTTCACAGCTTACTCTGTTGCTCTGTATAAAACATGACAATGACAGCTACCTCTTAGAGCTCAAGGCTTTCGATTCATGAGGTGAGTTCCAGAATCCATTCTTGTAATCACCATACTAAATAGCCTTCCTGCGACAGCTCTGTAGAGAATGCAGACTCAATCCTGGATTTGTTTTAGTAAATGGTGTCCACTTTGGGGTTGGAGGGGGCCCTTGAAAGTGCACTTGACCTTCAGACTAGTTCTTTGGAGGCATCATTAGTCCCTTTGGACACATTTTTAAAATATGGTAGAAGCCTGGCTTATAAATACCTCACACAGTCTTCTGCATGCCTCTCTCGGCTGTGGCTGGCCTCATTTCACTGGGCAGGTGCCTGAGGCTAGCAAGTTAGTGGCCCTGGAGCTCACAGGACAGTTAGCTCTCTGGGCCTGTAGATTCTGCATCCTTGGATTCCACCAACCTCAGATGGAAAATGCAAAAAAAAAAAAAAAAAAAAAAAAAAAATCTATGTTTGTACTAAACAGACCTTTTCTCATTGTTCTCTAAACAACACAGAGTAAGGACTACCTACATAGCACTGAGTGAAATGTAGCGAGTAACCCAGAGATGTTTGAAGTGCAGGGGGACATGTGTAGCCCATGTGCCAGCGCTCTGCCATTTCACATAACGGACAGGAGCACCCACAGACCTTGGCATCCACAGAGTAGGAGGTGTGCCCTGGGGCCCCCGACTCCCACCGATCCTGAGGGTCAGCTGTCTGTTGTGGCTGAGATGCTGATCTAGAACTTTCCTTTTCCTAAAGGAGCCCCGCCAATGAGTTAGTCTCCCAGGTGGGGCTCAAGCATCTGTGTTTTTAAAGCCAGTGTCTGATGTGGAGCCAACATGAGCCAGCCCATCTCACCCAAAGCTGGACCGAGACTCCAAATATCTGCGTCCCGGGACTCCCAAGGCAGCCTACCCTCCGCAGGTGCTGGCTCACACAGCCTCTCCGCTGCCTCGAAGCCTGGACCCTACCCACCCCCACCCCAGCGTCCCCTGCTGGAAACCTGGCCACACTGCTGCTTGCTGTCCCTTCCTGCCAGTGCCGCCTGACCTCCCCTCACTTTGGGGAAAGCTGTCCCCATTTCTGCCTGGGTTAGGCCACCCCCGCTCAGCTTCTCTGTGTCTCTGTCTGCTCTAGAAGGTTGATTTCTGTCACCTTTCCATCCTCTTTGTTCACAAGGACCAGGCTTCATCCTTTCTCCTCTCAGACTTTGAGAATTTGCAACATTTTTAAGCAATTTTAATGGACACAATAATTGTGCTTATTTATAGGTGCCCTGTGAGGGCTCCCTGCTGCTGATTCTGTACCATGTTCCATACGCATGGGAGCGGAGTATCTAGCTCCTTACTTTTCTTTTCTTGGTGGTGACATCAAAGTTCTGTCTTCTTGCATCAGTACTGGACTTCTAAATTTTTCTCATTACCCACATCTTTGCATAGACACCTTATCCCATACTAGCCCCTAGCTGACCCTTAACACAGCCAAGCTGTCCCTCTGTCCCTGGCTCAAGGTTTCCCCTTGAGCCTCAGCTGTCTATAGACACTCACAATCATGGTGCTCTGTCCATAGGACATTTCCTCCAGCCACCAACCTCCACCCTTCCATTCCCACCAGTATGCCTGAAATGCCTCCCAGGAAGCCTCCTGCTTCAAAAGGCTTAGCTGGGAAACTCCTGCTCTTCTGGTAGACCCCAACTTGGAAATGGCCTCCTGTAGGCATACTTTCTGGAGACCCCTGAGGGGACGGGCATAACTTTCTCTGTCCTACCCTAGCACAAGAGTCCGACTTTAATCACAGGGTTGCAATCAGATGGTTTCAGGACCTGACTGCTGTGTAGCGGTGCCCTATCTCAGGCTCTCTCCAGATTAAGGTTTTGCTACTGCAGGGTGTGGGGCCAGGGGCCAGGTTACCTATGAATAGACCAGAGTGTGTGAGTCCTGAGCCTGAAGGCCTAGGTGGGGAGGCTGGGAGGCCCAGAGGCAGGTTTGCTGGTTGGATATAGAAAGATCAGCAAGAGGTTACACAGGGAGATGTAGAAGACGGAGTCTGGAAGGGCCCCACACACCTGCACGGCCGTGACACTCCCCCCGGGAAACAGAGGCACAGCTTGAGGAGGGACATAGCTCTGAGTTTGTCCAGATGGCCTTGAGTGGGTCTTCCCCAGTTTTATAAACCAAGCCCCTTGCCCAGTGTCCTGCACACAGAACTGGCCCATCTTCTGAACCATGAAGGTCTGCTGGGCCAAGAAGGCCCTTTGGGGGGCCTGGACAGTGAGATGAGGTGGACCTGTCCAGGGTGGGGTCCCTAAGACTCGTTATTTCAAATCCCCTGGGTGCTCTGCTTGTTCCCACAGGGGCAACCCTTAGGCGCAGACCCCGACCATGCGGGCCTTACTGTGTGGCTGCCTGCTTCTGGCAGCAGGCCTGGCACATGCCCTGAACAGCACGGACCCGGAGGAGCCCAGCCCCAATGTGTTGGAGCAGATCCGTGACATGCATGCCAAGGTGATGGACATCTGGAAGGAGCTGGTGCCACGGCAGCAGGCGACCGGAGAGCTACACGCAGTGTGTCGCGTGCAGCCGTCCTCCAAGCTGGGCACCGGGCAGCCCCGGGTCACTGGCCTGGTCCTCTTTCGGCAGTCCGCTCCTGAGGCCAGGCTTGAGGCCATCTTCGACCTGGAGGGCTTCCCCGAGGACGCCACCGGCTCCCGACGTGCCATCCATGTGCACCGCTTCGGCGACCTGAGCCAGGGCTGTGACTCCACAGGACCACACTACAACCCATGGTCCACGCCGCACCCGCAACATCCTGGCGACTTCGGCAACTTTGTGGTGCGCCCTGGAGGCCGCCTTTGGAAGTACCAGGCCGGGCTCCCCGCTTCCCTCGCAGGCCCACATTCCATCGTGGGCCGTGCCCTGGTAGTCCACGCCGGAGAAGATGACATGGGCTGCGGCGACAACCCGGCCAGCTTGGAGAACGGCAACGCAGGGCCCAGGCTGGCCTGCTGCGTGGTGGGCTTGGGCAGCACAGAGGCATGGGCGAGCGGGGCGCGGGAGCTGGAGGAGCACAGGAAGAGGCGACGCAACAGTGACTGCAAGACTGCCTGAGCACCCTGGATGCCACCTGCCTTGGAGCCCACCGTCCCTCCTAGGACACCCTGCATGCCCCCACGCACCCAAGCCCTAACCCTGCCACACACCTGTGCACCAAGACCCACCCTGCCTGGACTTCCCTGTGTGCCTGTGAGCCCCGTGTACCTGAGAGCTCCAGGCCCAGAAGCCCTCCATACACCCAGAGAGCCCTCTCAGCCCCCCACATTCCATGCACTTGGAGATCCCACCCAGTCAGGACACCCCTTTGAATCCTGAGAGTCCTCCTTGCCGGGACAACCATTTCCCTGTACCCCAGGGGTCCTCTGCTGGGACACATCAGTGTACTCTAAAGGCCCTTCCTACTGTGACACCCGCTCCCGCTTACTTGCAGACCCTCAGCAGACCACCGCCCTCCTGTACATCCTTGTGCACCCCAAGACCCCATCCTGCAAGGATACCCTTGTGCCCTGGAACACCCATTTACTTCAAGGGACTCTCCATGCCCAGAGCACCCCAGTGCGCCCCAGGTATCCTCCCCACCTAGATTTCCTCCCTTACCTCTACACAGGAGATACTCCCTCTATGCCAGAGGCACTCCCACCAGAACTCCAGGAGCCATGTGTGCAGAGAAAATTCTCTGTCCCTAGGCCCTCTCTGCCTTGGAGCCTCTCTACCTTTGCAACCACACACACCCTTCAGCCTGAGGTCTTCTCCTCCTAGGCCAAGTTGCTTCCCTCTTCCACTCCAAGGGCCACCCATAGGCTCTAAGCCCCAGTTCCAGTAACACTCAGGCCCCTGCCCAGACATGCCTAAATCCAGCACCTCTATAGCTTTCTGCTGCTGAGATCCCTTCCCTCCCTGAGCCCCAGCCCCCAGAGCCCCCACTTATGACCCCTGAGACACCCCTTACCTGGAGGAAGGCCTCTTCCCTTTAGACTCCTCCTTGGCACTGGGAGACCCCACCCACTGAGAGTGCAACGGAAGTAACCCTCACCCCTACCCCCAGCCGACCGCTGTTATCCCATCGCCAGTGCCCTAGGGAGAGCTGCTTCTAAGAGGGATGCTTGCCAGCCTCTGTTGCTCAGTAAAGATGCAGCAATTCAGCCCAGCACCGAGGCCTTCCTTGGTTACTTTGTTTGCTTCTTCCCTTCCAACCAACAAACTTCCCTTCCTCCTTTTATTTTTATTTATTTATTCATTTATTTTGAGATGGTGAAAAGAATTTCTAAACCTTTTCAGCACTTACTCCCTGTCTCTAACCCTGCCAGAAGCACATTCAGTCACTGATTGTTGTACCTGTGGGAATCACCACAGTTAGATAAGTCTAGGAAGTCTGAGTGTGTGTGTGTGTATGTGTGTGTGTGTGTGTACACACGTGCATGCATGCGTGAGCTCCTTATATATTATATTATATATGTCTCGGGGTTGTGGAATCCCATTTGGAGCCAGTACTGGGGTTAGTGCGTCTATCACAGAGCCCCTGGCCTGGGAGGAATGAGGCATCTGGCATGCATGCCAGCCTGGGCCAATTACATCCTTCACAGGCAGCCTTTGGTCCGTCATTTTCCGGGTCTAATAAGACAGCAGCAGTGAAGCCACATGCCTGGCAGGTCACAGGGGTTGGAGGTGGGCAGCTGGAGTTGCCAGCAGTCTTGACACTCTTCCAGGGTGAGATGTGGCAAAGGCAAGCGGAAGCCGGGCAGGGTGAGTTTGATTGGGCCTTGGTGGGAGTTTCAAGTCCCTCTAGAAGGATTATCATCTGCACATAGTCTAGAACGGCCTTTGCTCACCAGACGGAAGTACCTGTGATAACTCTACCTCCCGGATGGGTCACAACTCAGCTCTACCTCCCCTCACCCCGAGGCAGCTCCCATTTCTCCTGGGCTCATCAGGCAGTGAGTTAAACTGAACCACAGCCAAAAACCCATCCCCAGTGGTTATTTTTACCTCAAACTAGGACTAACTTGTTATTTTAAAGTCTTTCTTGAACTCAAGTGACAACTAGAGAGAACGGCTGTTGCCTTTGCTCCGCCAACTGGTCCTTACTGGTGTGAAATATTCACTGGAAACCCACAGCTCGGCACTAAAGCGAATCTGCAAACAGAGCCTCTGAATATTCTGATCTCAAATGGACGTGCTCGCCTGTCTCTATCAGAAAAGAGGCAGCAGTTACAGAGGTACACATGGCCGAGAGGAATCCGATTCCCCCCGGAGTATGGTTGCTGCAGGCCCACCAAGGGCTTCAGTGGCATTTCCAAGGGGCTGGTCCTGCTCCTCTCTTCCTTCTTTCCTGTTTCCCTCCTCACTGCACTTGACCCTGGGCACAGCCAAGGAGACACCCTAGCTGACTCATTGCACTGCTGTGCTGCCTGTTAATGGGAATGGGATTGGCGAACTATCCGTGGGGCCCCAGGGATTAGAAACAAAGAGGAAATAAGAGTGCAATAGCACAAATTGTAGCTCACTGGAAGGACAGAGCACAGCATGTAGGAAGTGAGATGGAAACCATGATGAATGTTTAAATAAGGAAAATGGTTACAGTAGAAGATACTGTTATTAATTGACCTTGAGAATGCTCCGCTTGCTCCAAAGCCACTCATCCTGTCATTCTTGATGAACTCTTTCTTGTCTTTAGTTGTAATGCCTGGCTACCTCCAGGTTCTGAATTGACTCAACATGTTTACCTCTCATGGTCTTTTGACTTTGGAGAAAGGCCAGAAGTCGCACAGTTCCAGCGCCAATGAGCAAGGTGGATGAGGACACAGTGTCATATCTTTCTATGACAGAAGTGACGTGTATAGGAAATGGCCTGAGAAAAGAGTAAAAAGGCTTCATCCTCCATTGTGACAGTACTCTGTGTCACACATCATATCTAGTAAGGCAATAAAAGCAGTAGTGTGTCTTCATTCACCTTATTCACCAGATCTGGTACCACGTGACTTCTGTCCCTCCCCCAAAGTCAGAAGGAGCAGTGAAAGGTAAACATCCGACTGATTCAGGACACCAGGGAGCAGGACAGTGCAACTGAAGACACTCACGAAAGAGGACTTCCAGAACTGCTTCAGAAAGTGACAAGGACAATGGGACTGGAGTATTTGCAGAGAGGCAGCGTATTCCAAGGGAGATTAATGGCAATGCATTTCCTACTGTAATTTTTAAAAATACAAACATTCATTGTATATTTTGATCACACCTCAGAGTATTACATTTGGAACCCAGGTCTGAACCCTGATTCTGCTGCACTTCCACAGTGTATAATCTACAGAAGTCATTTAACTTCTCAGAGCCTGGGTTTTCTTTCCTGTATGATAAACTAGTATACTGGATTATTCCGTAAGTCTGCTTCCTGAGTGGTACATAGCTTAACGCTAATAAGGATCGAGATAATAACAGCGGCTAAAGTCAGAAAAAATCTCTCCCTCCCAACAGACCAGGCTACCATGTGAGGAAGCAAGAGCCATGCAACTGGAAGGAGTCCAGTGAAGGAAAGGGCACTGTCGCGGGGGTTCTAAGAAGAATCTCTGCCACCCCTGGGAAGCTGGATGAGAGAAACCCTGCCATTGCAGCTCTTGGGGGGAGGGGCCGAAGAGAAGCCAGCGAAGGCTGTGAGCCAGAAAGCAGACATCTGGATCCTGGCGCAGAACCATACTGCGCCACGCAGCCCACCCACTGGACCCGACTTGGCCCCCAGAGTCTATTTTTGCCCTTCTCATCCTCTAGATCTATTTTGTTAATCTCCTTATATTTGCTGTTTGGACTTCCCAGCCAGCTTGCTAATCAGTTTGCCCATTTGACTCATAGGGTTTGCATTTGTCACTGGGACCTAAACACACGCTTGTTTTGATTTCTTTTCGTAAAATTAGAAGCGTTTGATGTAATGACTCTACCTAGACACAGCTGGTAAAGTGAGAATAATGTTCAAGTTTGCATAGTTTAAACACAATGTAGACAATAATTAGAAATACTATCTTTAGATGTTTAGGATAAGCTTTTTCTCAGAATTGCAGTGATTTTTTTTTTTTCCTGAGTGGGGCTTTTTAGTGCATATACACAGAAATACTAAAAATGTGAAAAAAAAATAGAGCAAATCAGTGAGTGCTTTGGTCAACTTGAAAGACTGCAGGAAATAAAACGACTGATTTTAGATCTGTCTTTTTTGACTGAATGCATAAAATCTTTACATTCACCATATTTTTTCATGGCTACCATATGATCGAGTAATTTTAGGTAGCAGATTGCAACTGATAAGTCACTACCATCCTCTATAAGCAGTGTTCAGTGCTGAGAGGACACAAATAATATGGATAATTAATCAGCTATATTAGGAAAATCATCACATTTTCATTCAAAGTAAGAATAAGGTATAGTTATGATACATGGTGCTCATAGCATCTAATACAGTAAGGCCTACAAAGGAGAAGAAGTTACTTGTTTCTTTACATAAAACTACAAAACAGCAGCTGGATTTAAGAAAAAGTCAATTGTTTTACATTGAATAGCTCTCACTGGCCTTGGCTGAGATCCCAAAATGTGTTCCTGGGCTCACACAAACTGTCCAAAGTCAAATGTCCCAGCGCTCCATACACACCCCTCCCCCTGCATCCAGAAGGAAAACTCTTGAGCAGGAACATGGCACCTTTGCGTCTATCATTTTAAATTGCCTGTGTGCTGGATCAACTCATCTGGCTTTGTCTTTGTGCCCTGCCATCGTATCAAAAGGCCAGTCCTTGTTTTTTGGGTTTTTTTTTTTCTGCATCTCTTTCTAATTAGATTCAAGACCAAGTTCCTAGTTGCATCTCTCTCTGCAGTTTTCTCCATTCAGAAAGCCATCTGGGGGCAAAGAATATGTTAAAGCTGTGAGCGGAGTCAGTGCTCCGAGCTTTGATACCCTACCGGAAGCCTCTGAAGGTACCCTTGGATTTTATCAAGAAAAAGGATTGTCTCAAATGGAGGCTTCCAGAATGAAAATAGAGAGAGAAAGCCCTCCAATCAAGTCCATTTCCAAAGAGAAGCAAGGCACCAGGCTCCCACAGGCAGTGGGAAGGCAGCAAAGCTCACAGAACACCCTTGTTTTAGATGCACAGAAAACCTGAAAGGCAAAACTATGCAGCTACTTGAGAGAGGCAGGGCAGAAAGCCTCAATGAGCCGCTCTTCTGAAGTCCTTTGAGACCAAATTTCTCATGCCCTGGTTGGCTGGTGCCCATGCGTCAGTGGGAGGAACACATTAGAAAACGGTCCAACATCTAAACCAGTGATAACAGAGCCCATTTCTAGCACTTTGAGTGGAGACAGGAGTGTGTTTGGGAGCAAAGAAACAATGGGAAATCTGAACTAATTCAGTTTATTATGGTTGCCAGCAGGCAGAAGACTGCAGGGTGGGCTGAGTCACTCACCACCAGCTAGGGGTCTCCTAGCCAGGGAAGCTTGGGGTTTGGTTGATTGGAGAGACAAGGCAGGTGTGTGTGTGTGTGTGGGAATGCACACATACAGAATGGAGGTACGAGAGGCATAGGGAGGGACAGAGCCAGGGAAGGGATGCCTGCTTTACAAACAGTGATCCTTTCTGCAGGCCTTAATTAAAAAAAGACAAATGCTGTATGTAACACTCCACACCTAACAGCTCACAGGTACAGAGCAATCACAAGGGTGCAGAGCGTGCAAACAGGCTTTCATTAGGAGACCTGTCAGCCCTGTGTCATTTATCCCAACTCTGAAGCCTGCAGGGGCCTCAAGAGGACAGACAGGTCTGCAGTGGTGGGGACAAACCTCTGTGACACAGGGCAACCACAGAGAAGCGGGCGTAGTGGGGGGGGATGCCATTTTCTCAACAGTTCTAATATTCTGGCTTTTACAACAGGAACAAAGAAAGAAGCCCTAGGGCTCAGAGGCAGGGCTTTTGGTACCCACTCAAGTCTCCTTAAATCTGTACCTCTAAGGCATGATTTTGCTTTGGCAGTTACCCTTGTAGTACCTACATATCCAGGACAAGACCCCACCCCAATTCAGAGGGTAAACCTTGATGTACCTGAGCCCATCATCAGACCTTCTGCTCGCTGGGAACTGGCTTAGACACAGGCATACTCTTCTGAGCAATTCTGTGTGTCAGGAACTGGGTGAGAAATGCCTGTGAGAAGAAACTTCCTTCTACCTTTGTACAGACCTGAGAACAAATGATGCCTGAAGCTATTGCAATCATCTTGTTATCAGGAGGAAGTAGCTGACACAGAGGCCAATAGAGATGGGAGGTGGACACTCAGGTCAGCAGAGACTTTCTTGCAAGACAGTTTGGGGACACTTTCCTTCTGCAGCTCTCATGATGCAGTAGTTTTGTTAGGTATCTGCAGGTGTAACTTGTTGCCAAAAGGACCATGAACTGCACAGGGCTCTCTGGTGGAGTGGGGGAAGAGGGCTGCACACTTTCACAGCAATGGTTATAAAGACAAAAGACAACCATGAGTAGCTGCCCAGTCTTTCTTTAATGTCTATGGAACGGAAAACCATGTGGGTGGGGACCGCAGAGGGTATGACAGTGTCACCTGTGTGAATGGGACATTGCCATGGTTACCTGGGTGTCAGGCTCAAACTCATCTCCTCTTCCATCTAAGAACACAAGAGCCTTCCAGACTGAGGGCACTCGCACTGTTAAAGCTGCAGCTCCTCGGACCCCAGCTTCTGAAAGCCAGCCTCTCTGGGACTCAGTTTCCCTGCCCCCGATGGAAAGTGTTAGGCTTTGCCACAAGCCAAACTAACCACGAAGACATTAACAGGCCCAAAAGGGATATCTCCGGATGACTAAGGCAAAGTAGAGCTCCTCTAGGGTGAGACTTTTTTGTGTTATCCCTGTGTTAAGCCTCGATGTTTCCCTTGGTTGCTCTGGGTGGTCAAGTTGAACATCGGCAGCCAGCCAACGCCTGTGCAACAAGATGGCTCCTTCTGTGAGTGCTGGGCTGGTTGAGTGCCGTGGCTGCAGAAGTGACCCACCAGTGACCTGTGATGGGGTGTGCCCAGGGGCAGAGGCACCCTGTGGAATGGAGAAGGATGGACAGAGCATCCCAAGGTGATAGGGCGCCGGCTCCAGCATGTTCCTGCTCTGCCAAGTGGGGAAGCTCAGAGTGCACTGGAAGCCCTGAAGCGGACACCTGACCCAGGCCAGGCCCCACTCTGCCCCTGTACCCCTCCTGAGTGCGGCACTGTGATGCCTGGGAGTAGAGGTCACCAGGAGATGGGACCTGACAGGGACATATTGGTATGGGCCAGTTCCCAAGAGCAGGTGTCCCTCCTAGGTGAGCCTGTATAAACCAGGTTTCAGGACAAATTTCCACCTCTGCTCCCCTGGGTGCCTTTCCTTCTTTTGCAGGAAGGTGTCTGCAATGTGCTGCTGGGTCTCTGAGGCATTCTGAGTGGTGCAGTCTGCTACCAGCTCTCAGAGACACATATGCGGAGTCTGGCTCCCCAACCTGATGGCACAGGACTCCTGCAGCCCCGGGAGCAGTGCAGAACTGCTAGGTCTCATCCCTAGGAGACCCAGGTACTGCCGGCCATGTCCTCCTTTCTCACCCATGGGCCTGGCCCTGGGTTCTACAGGCCACTCTTCCCACGACGCTGGGTGAGGTCCTTCTGCCCTCTCTTGCCCTTTCATGGCCAGGAGCTCAGCGTCTTGCCTTTCCAGTCCCAGTACCTGGTGGCACATTCTACTGAAGGAGTCGAGAATTTCAGCTCAGGCGGCTCAGGACAGCTCTACTGACACCACCCAGCTCTTTCCCCAACGCAGAGTGGCCTCAAAACCCTACATATAGCACAGATTGAATAAAGCAAACAAGCATTTCCACTTCTAGTTCTCATCTCTTTTCAAAAGCAGAGAATTGGATTACCTCTGGGAGTTCCAGACCCACCTCCTCTACCACTTCCAATCAATTAATCCCCCAGATTAACAGTCTAGAAAATTCAGTTCTAGCAGGATGCAAATAGGCCCCCTCAGGGCGATGGATTTCTGACCAGAAGCCCAATTTTCTTGGGCGCTTCCGTCTGTTTCTGTCCGTCAGTCAGCACCTGGACACAGTGCTGGTGGCAGGAGGCCAAGAACACCCACTTGGGGAGCCCCTGGGACCCTGCACACGCACAATGCTCAGGGCTCCCATCCACCCTTCTCTCCAGTCACCTCCCCATTACTAGACCCAACTCAAAACCCCCTCCATTTGCAGCTCATCCCATAGTTTTGATCAATGACATTAAATGCCAATAGGAAATATTTTATCTCTAATAAAACAAATGCTGACAGAAAGACAGAGGCCAAAGACCGGCCATATGGCAGCCTGGCCCTGTTCACAGCCACATATCCTTGGCAGAAAGAGATGACACTCGAGAAGCTTGAGGACTCCCACTTAATAAATCACAGCCCACAGGCATTGCTGGGACATTCACAGTTTGCAACAGGATCCAAGCCATTCCTCATTTGCTGAGGTGTTTAGGAAAAAATGACCTGTGTGTATATTCTGATGCTTCATTCTTTTCTTGCTGAACCTGGTGCCTGCAAAGTATGACCGTATGGGCATTTGTTCCCCTTCATGTTTGCACGACACTGTTTGTGTCCCTGCCCTCAGAGCCCCCTTTACTGTCTTCCAGGACAGCCACTTGGGTGGCTTGGGGGGCCAGCGCCAAGCTGTCCAGGAGGTGTTCAGGGAGCTCCCCCTTGGAGGCCAGTCCCAAGGGAGATGAGCCCCGCGGTCCCTCCAGAGGACTCTCTCTCTGAGCCCCTCCTAATTCTGCAGCAGCTTGCTCCTTTGTCAGTTTAATTATTTCCCTTCCAAGCCTGTTTACTTCTTCCTCCTCAGAAAGTAGCTGGGGTAATGAAGGATGAAAGTGCTTGCATTGGCTCCTGTGGCTCGGATTTGCTGGGGAGCTGACGGCGAGCCTCCCAGCATCCTCGGGCGCTGTCACCACCTCAGCAGCAACACAACTTTCATCTCCTTCCTGCTGCTGAGTCTCCCCTAAAAAGACAGTAAAGACAGTGTCAAACCTCTGGCAGCATTCAGCACGCACCCTGCCTCTCTTCCAACCTTCCCTCAGAGAGAAAACGCTTCCGTGGCCCTAGGACAGTGCCCTTCTCCCTCACGGCACTGGAGCCTAGGGGAGGAGGGCACGGGGCCCACATTTAAAAGGAAAGTAAGTGCTCTTGTGATAGCTGTGGTACTGGAGTAGGAAATAGGGCCCTTGGCTGGTTTCATAACCATCCTCTCAGGTACCTGGGTGGCTCTGGCTGCCTCTTTACCAGGGGCTCCATGTACCTATTAAGTATTCAATTCAAGGACACAAGTTTTGTCTTGGCAGCTCTGGGAAGACCTGAGGCTCTTTAGTAATGAACAGTTTCCGGCTGCCTTCAAGGTGGGGAGGTCAGAGGTCTGGGAGGAATTCAGTGCCACCCCTATTCTCCACCAGTACCTTATTCTTTGATGCAGGCCCCTGATGTTTCTTGGCTTTCAGATGAAAGACTATGTGTGAAAGTGGTTTTAAGCTTCCTCCCTCAACACTAAGACTTATTTTCATGCCTCTCATCTACAGACTAAAAATTCTAGAGTTACAACCAGGGAGAGACCAGAGACAAGGGGAGCCCTGAGTCTTGGCATTGTCTCCCCACTGCCCTGCTCACTTGTCCTGTGGTGGGAACAACCCATGTGGCCGCAGTTCTCAGGTACACAGTGAGGGCCAGGACTCACTGGGTCCCTTCCAGATCTGATGACCACCAGGGGCTCAGCCAGCCTGAGGAGCAGGGGTATAGAGCCAACTCGCACAATTTGGCTGTGTGCATTCAACACCTGGCTCTGTTTCCCAGAATCTAAGCAGTGAGGAGAAGCAGCACAAAAGAGCCACAGGTGGGCTGGTTCTAGCCTGGACACAGGTCCTGGTCCAGAGAGTGAGGCCCTGGGGGTACTTCCTGCATGGATCTGGAGAACCCTGCTAGAATCAGGCTTGCTATCAGGAGCAGGCAGATGCATCTACAGGCTGCAGGCTGGGCTGTGGGGAGCAGCAGAACCACAGGAGGCTAAGGAAGCATGTCCAGAGAATGCCCATTCTCCTGCTTACAACCTCTTATCAGAGCCTTGCTGACTCGGGATCAACCATGATTCCTTTCCCTTGTGTCCTCTATGAAGGTTCTTCTTATTTGCTTCTGTTTTCCTCTGCAGCCTGCTTTCTGGTTTGGCCACATACACGTGTCCTCCTCACCATACCCCTCAAGCCTCTGTATGTGCCACCCCCAGCTGACACTCCTTGGGTGTTCTTCTGTGCTAGGCAATGTATCAAGTTCTTGTTCTAGAACTTAAATCTTTGAGAAAAGGATGCATACTCAAGTTGTCCACTAGTTTAACACATTCCAAGCATTCGGAATGGCTTAAAATATACCTAACAGGGCTGGGGAGATTGCTCAGCAGTCTAAGCACAAAGACCCAGGTTCGATCCCCGGTACCATATGCACCCCGTGCTGACCAATGAAACCAGACATGGTGGTGTATGTCTGTAATCCCAGTGCTGAGGAGGCTGAGACAGGAGGATCACTATGAGTCTGAGCCATATAGCAAGACCCTGTACCAAATAAATAAATAAGTTTTAAAAATTTTTACAAAAAATATCCCTAACATTTTTAATGGAAGGATAACATCTGTAGGGAGATATGCACAAATCTTACTACACAGCTGTGCTAGTCAGCTTTCCATCCCCACAAGAGACACTGTGAGGATTTACTTAGAAAGAGACAGGGTTCTCTGGGCACAAGCTTTGGAAATCCCAGCCCGTGACTCAACTGCCTCCACTGCTGTGGGAGGGGCAGCACCTCATGGGGAGGGGCAGCTGAGCCCATAATCAGGATGCAAAAGACAGAGTGAACGAGCCTTGTGTCACCGTCCTTTTCAAGGCCACACCTCCAATGACCTGAAGAACCCCCCTCTAGGCCGCACTTCTCACTGCTTCTCACTGGCACCTCCTTGACAACCAAGTCTCCAGCACAGAGACCTCCAACCCATGGGGACATTTAAGACCCACAGTGTGGTAAGCACAGTGAATTTTCACCGAGTGAACACATAACCAGTACCCAGGGTGAAAAAAATCGCCATCTCCCTCCAAACACCTCCCAGTCTCGTGCTCCAGACCCTCATTCTAGCCACCCCTCTTTTGCCAAGTGTAACGACTGTCCTACTTAGAACACCAAGGGAGTTTTGCCTGGTCTTTATTTTTATTTACAGAAATCTTACAGGGCCTACTTCTTTGTGTCTGGCTGCCTTTGTTGTCTACACGAGGCTTGTAAGATTTATCCATGCTATTGTGTGTAGAATTTGTTCATTTGATTCCCAGTTTTCCACAAATATTGAATGAAAGCAGGCAATTCACAGAAAAACAAATGGACAGCAAACATATTAAGCAATTCATAACATCATTCATAATTAAAGCAATTAAAGTCACAACAGGATTTAATTTTTCATCTATGAAATTGGCACGATTTCAAAGGTTTTACAAAGCTTGGTGTTGCGAAGGACCCAGAGAAGCAGGTACAATCCTGTGAAGTAAGACAACAGAAGGCAGTAAAACTGTTTTATAGGCCATTTGGATCATATCTACACAACCTTAAAAGCATTTATCCTCTGACATAGTGATTCTATTATTAGGAATCTATCTATGTCCACCAGCCCAAATATTTCAAAGCACATCTTCCTGTGCGCTCACTCCAACCTTGGTTTTTAATAGTAGAAACCTGGAAAGGATCTGAGAGGCCACCAATAGGAGAGGACACATACAAGTACACTGGCAGAGTTGTGAAATCCTTCCCAAGGGCACAGGGTGAAGATGCCTGACTAGAAATGTTGGGACCACAAGTGTTTCAGGTTGCAGACGTTTTTGGATTTTAGAGTATTTGCATATATACACTATAATGAGATCTCTTGAGGGTGGGATTAAAGTCTAAACATGAAATCTATTTGTGTTTTATATATTCCTTATACACAATATTGGAAGCAAACGATATTTTTAGCCTGTGTTTTCACTGTAATCTGCCACTTGAGGCCAGATGTGGAATCTTCCACCTGTGGTATCCATGGACACCTAAAAGTTTGCAGTTTGGGAGCATTTCAGATTTTAGATTAGGGATGTTCAACCTATAGGCTAAGTCTCTAGGTTGCACCAGCGAACAGTGCGGACCAGGGCAGGAAGCAAGAATAAAGGGAGCTTTAAATTTAATTTCACTGTGTGTGTGTGTGCTTGCATTACTAGTCTTATATGCAAGATTCTGCCAAATTGTGTTAAAATGCAGCGTAAAATTTCTACAATTGTCTGTGACCCATTTTAATTTTAATGTAATGCATTAAAGTATTTATGAATATGACTAGTATGTGTTTTCGAACATTTCTTTATTTAACTAAATAACTAGATACCTTTCTTAGCATCTGTTCACCTAATAAATGTTTCAAAACATAAAAATGGCTGTGTAGTTGATAACATTTATTTGCACATATCCAGTAAAGAGGATTTCGAATGTTCCCAACATACACACACACACACACACACACACACACACACACACTAAACATGGAAGGTTCTGGATATACCAAATACCCTGATTTGATCTTTAAACATTTGTTAAAATCACACTGTATTCCATAAACATATGTCTTAATATATACATATATTATATGTATATGTACATATATATACATGTTTTCTCGTTACTGAGTCAAAACACCTGATACCCAAGGTTAAAGGAGGAAAGACTGACTTAGCTCACAGTTTGTAGTGGTTCCAGTCCATAATCAGCTAACTCTAAGGCAGGGTGGCACATGACAGAACGGCAACAGTTCATGGTGGCAGAGGACACCAAAAACAAGAGACACAAATCTTTTTCTGTGCCTTATGTCGTATGCAGCCATTGGCATCTATGTGTTGCTCTCTCCGTAACAACTGTACCTGGAAATGGGACTGTCATGCTCCTAACACATATGAGTGAACGTAGCAGGTCCTTTGGGCCTGGCCGGGCAGGGTGACAACACATGTTAAAGCCTAGCAGTTTCCTTGGCCTCAGGCCTCCTCTGCAGACCTTCTCTGAAGCTTCACTGCTCCAAGCAGGACCTGTGGGCCTGCAGCAGCAGCAGGGCCCTGCAGCTTGCTAGGCATGTGCCACCTCAGGCCCTCCTGTCCTCTACAGGTTCAGAATTGGTATTTGGGTAAGAGCCCAGGCCATGTGGGTGCACACCACATTTCAAGAAGCACAGTAAACTTGAAGTCCAAACCCCACCATACCTTCATCCAACTAGAAAACCTTCAAAGGCTGCCAGTGCCTCGGGAACACAGTCTAAGCTCTTACTCCAACCCTTGAAGCCTTCTTCAGCCTACACTCATCTCCCCTTCTACCTGCTGACTTCTGTCCTTGTACCCCCTGCTCCAGCCATCTCAGCCCTTCCTGGAGCACTACCTACCCCTGTGCCTTTGCTCAGGTGGTTGATTCCTCCCACCCCAGGACAAGGGTTCCTTGCTGTGTTGAATGACAAACCATAAAAGCCAGCCCTTTTCCATCTCCTCCATGAAATCTATTTGACAAAGCCTGGTTACAGGTCATACTTTAAGTGTCTGACTTCCAACAAGGCTATGTCTGCACCTCCTAGAGAGCTTAGTGCTCTGTATTTTCCCCTTCAAATTATTACTTATAAATCCCTTTGTAAGTTCTCCCTCCAGTTGTTACTTATAACTACTTATCTCTACCTTTGGCTGGCAACCAAATTGTCACTTATAACTACTTGTAAGTAAAATATCTTGCCTGATCAACTTTTAACCTTGCCAGCATTCTGCAGTTGTGCTCATACAGCTCATTAATGCATGAATATATGGGTTTGCGCATGAACGCATGAACAACGGAATGTCTTAGCACACATCTCTATATAGGATGCATTAATGTAGGAGAGTCGTCTTTGAATTCATGGTATTCAGTTCAGGTTCTACCCAGGTTGCTACCCTAAAAGTTCTTAAAACGGTAATTTCTGGAGGAAAAAAAAAGATTTCTACTTCATACATTTAGCTACCTCTAAGGTAGCACAGAGAAGCAATCACATAAATTTCATACTAACAAATGAAAATTTTTATGGTGGTTGTAGAGGGAGCATGAGAAACAGTGAGTCAGAAAGGGCGAGTTCCAGCCACGCGAGGAAGCTTTATTCAAAAGAAGTAAATTATGATACTTTCTGCAGCTAAATTTTTCACCAACATGAGGTGAATAAACTTCTGGAAATTGCTCTCATGAAATTACTTCTTCCAGGACACTTCACAGTATACTTTGATGCCCCTGGAAAATTAATTAACCTTGCTCATAACAATCTAACCCCTAGACCACTTGCAGCGGTTTTTTATAATCATGGGTTAGATGAATCTTCACTTGCATCTAAGTGAGTGTGGCCTAAATTACACCAAGGCTTTTGGGTCATTAGTGTTTTTCCCTTAGGCCAGGTCTTTAGATGACATTTTGCTCATGCGCTAGTGTATGGACCTGTTTTTTTGAGATGGTAAACCTCTGAGGCCACTAGAGAGAAGCATTTCACTTTTTTGAATGGGGTTGTCACCATTATAGGTTAGGATGCAGCCACAGTATGGGGCAAGGGGAACAGAGGCTACAGTTATATGACTTGGTCCTATTGGGTATTTACTTTTCCTGAGAAAGCCGGGATTTTCAGAGCCTCTGGACCAGGAAGATTCAGGGGCCAGGCTCCGGGATTGGCTGACTGTCCAACTGCAGGATTTGCCAGCCTCCTCATCCCCCTTGTCAAAATGTACTCAAGTCATCATGACATAAAGAAAAGTTTACACAGATGCCTCAACGCTTGTGCTGTCGCTGGGACTTCTGGGTACTTTGTCGGAGAGCAGATTCCCTTTTGGATGCTAAGATGCTGGAACATTAACTCTTAAGCTCTGAAAAGTTTAATTTTCCTTTAACAATAGACTAACAGCGTTGCCATTTCCATAAAAGATCTCTGAACTAAGAGTCAGAAAATATTACTGCAAATAACAACAATTATTCTGTGCTGTTTTACCAAACACAATTACTATTATTAATATTTATTAATAATATATATCAATAATAAGACAGTCAATGAACACAAATGCACCATGACACAAACAGTGTGGAAAGAGAAGTACTTTTTTCTCTGAAAGAGGATAAAAGAAAATAGTATTGCTTTGTAGAAAAGACGGCTAGACCCCTGAAGATGTGTTCCCCCTCCTTTGGCCCAAAGGGGACATTTGTCTGCCTTTGTTAGCTGGTCTCTGATGGTCTTTGTCCTCTTGAGTGTGTGCTGCTTTCAGCTGGAATTAATCAGGACTGCAGCAACGATGGGCCATCCTCAATGCCACATGAATGCGTCCTTGTTCCCACCCAGCGCCAGCAGAGGACGGGGCTGGAACAATGAGAGCTAATGACGGAATTCTGGAAGCTATCATTTTGAATCAGTCCATTACTTACAGCAGCCTTGTGAAAATCAAGCCAGGCTCATGCTCCATTTCAGTTGAGCAGGCGCAGCCCCCTGCTTCCCCAGCCCCTGCACCAAGGCTGAGAAATCCAGGGTAGACACAGGGCTTTGGATCTCCATGTGGACACTGGGTGCCACTACAGGATGACCACCAGCCAAGACGGGCCATGGTACATTATGGGACAGCCTTATAAACAGCTGTACTTTGTGGGCTGGAAAGACCCAGCCTTGCTTTTTGGCCAGCATGGAACTTTCAAGAGTCAGGGGCTCTCTCCAGGAATCCCTCTCACAAGTACTTGGGGAACCTTTCCATTGAAACCCTAGACATGTCCTGCCTTCTGCCTTTACCATTGTCACTATGACAAGTGAAGTGAGCAGGCTTCAAAATGCAGCTGCACAGGTGCTTGCGAGTCTGCCGAGCTGAGCCCAGGCTGGCAGCACTTCCGGTCCAAGCCAGACTCTCCAGCACCACATGATGGTTGCTTTAAACTCTAAGTTTTTTTAAAAAATAATTTTATTGAGAAACAAATAGCAATGAGACAGTTTCAAAACAGGTTAGTTACAATAATTAATACATTGCATATGGTTATCTTCATAGTAGTTATTCATAGTACAAGATGCAGACATGATATCCTGTCCAAACACTATTAGTGCAAATCTTTCTTCTCATTGGATTAAGAGAAAGTAGCTGTATATCT